CCTCCCTTAAGCACCAGTAAGAACGAGCCTAGTGTAGGTACTACTGATAGACTTTAGGGCCCACTGTAATAGGCAATATTTCCAGAATAACTATAAACTTGGGGGGAATCTGGGGCCTTCTGTCTTTTAAGTCTCTGATGGTGCAAGAGGGATTGAATGTCTGTAGCAGTCCTTGTATTGTCAACCCCGTAGTCTGATTTCCCATGCTCGACTCATTCACTCATTCACTCAACTAAGTACAAGGGAGGCAACGCCGGGGCCCACACTGGTGGCCCAAAAGAGTGTTCAGCTGGGTTTTGATCGCCTGCCGTGGCAAAGGCAGCCCGATCTGGCTACCCAAGCAAAGAATGGTCATAACAATAATCGTAGCAATATGAATACGAAGAATTACAATAATAGCCACAACAATATTAGTGAAAAGGCCGGTATAGGTGGGGTGGGGTGGTGCACGGAGCCGTAGAGGCGACGAAAGGGAAGCGTTCCCGGTTTGGCTCATGGGCGGGGTAGTCGGCGTACTGGGGTAAGAGTGCAGGCTCATATGCCCTTGAGTTCCGGGCCTCCAAGGAAAAGCCCCAACATTCACTAAAACGCCTTCGATTCTGTCAGCGCGTGCTCTTAAAATCATGGACGTCGTTATATATGGTTTGGGCATGGATGCCCTGGTAACATGATGCAAGGAACCCACGAACATGATTATGGTTCGGGCACGGATGCTCTAGGAATCCTGTGCGTTTGGGAATGGACGGCTGGACGTTGCCGTATTCTGTTGCGTCCGCACTGGTCCACAGTATGTGCCACATGTTTCTAGGGTATACCCCATCAATACCTGCAAAATTCCTGGAATCTAGCACGGCCTCATACGTACTCGATGAGGTCTACTAGGGATTACAAAAACTTTAAAACTTCGAGCCTTGAGCTCGAAGTGGTACACAAAATCTAGATGGGGCTTAAGGATTAGGGTAGGCTTGAAGAGCTTCAATAAGAGGATACAGAAAAGAAGATTCTGTCATTGAATGCCTGTTCCACAACAAAAGCTGAGGTGACTCTTGAGATGTGCTGCTACCATTCCCTCTTGCAACAAAGCAATCCTGCCTGTTGAGCCAACGACTTGAAACTCTGCGGGTAAACTAGGAGTCTATGAGCCGTGGACCTGAAGAGGATTTGCTTGATGCACTGCCAAATGCTTCCCGTATACTCCCTTCGTACGACCAACTGAAGCCCGGGTGTGATGTAAGCGCGTAGAGGGTTCCCCTTAAGTAGACAGAATATGGGGTACATGGGGACCTTACTATACCATGCCCAAAGCCATATTTTATGAACTGAAGGGGGACTATAGGGTTTCGGGTTTAGGGTTCAGGATTTAGGCTTCAACTCGTGTAAGGCCAGAGAAAGAAGACCCTTCATCAGGCTCCTGCGGTAAGGCTACTCTGCGTGTTGTTTCTATCCCCTTTTTTTGCTGTTGGACTTGTGCAATCGCCAGCGTCTTGGCCAAAGCATCCCGATCATGTTTCTATCCCCCAAAACCCTAAAACATCCTAAACCCCTAAAACCCTAAAACCTCCAAAATCCCGCCCTAAACCTTAAAAACCTAAACCCTATGCCAGCATGGTCCTGCGAGACACTCTGGTTGCCAGATGTAGAGTTCACCTCTGAAACCCATATCTTTCGGTGTTGCAACAATAAGGCTTGCGCACAGGAAGGACTGGGATTTCGGAAGATGTAATGTAGGCGCCTATACAATTTCCTTAGCACTCCTAGATTACTTCAATTGGGGTGGTTTGTTGCGATCTTTTGGGTCTGGCGGAGTTCTCATTTACTGCAAAAAAGGAACTACGTAAATAGGAGGCTCTGGGTATTTGCAAAGTGGTCCTGGGTTCGAGTTTGCAAGTCTCAGGTGTAGTGCTGCGTTCCAACACCGATTAGCTGGACAGATTGTAGAGAGGTGGGGATGTACTTTGAGTGTTATACCAACTCTAGGATCATGACGGCTCAAAGGAATAGGCCCACAGAGTTACACGCGGCTTGGGTTGATGGTTTAGGATTCATGGAGTTAGAGAGCTTTGGGGTTAAAGCGTTACCGCGTAGAGTATGGCAACAGTTCAGGGACCATGCCTCAACGATTTGCAGCTTTTATCTGCGCAAGCTGAAGACCACGCACACTGAATACTACGAGAGGCAAACATCTTCTGCTGTTCCACTGAAGGTATCCGCGGGGTCATGCCCCCACCAACTAACAGTCTGTAAAAGGGGTAGTATTAACAGGGGTAGTATTAAGGCAGGCTATATATGACCATAGTATAGCTGTTATCCAGCTAATAATGGGGGCAGTATCCAAAGCATCCGCCTTTAACACGACATCTGCAGCTGTGGCTTTTCTCAGAACACTTGCATCCTCTCCTGCTCAGGGGATTTTGATGTACCAGCCCAAGGGAAACTACATAAACGTCGCTTAAAAATCTTCAAACAATGCATGCAGTCAAGAGGCAAAGGCCAGGATATAGGGCGGTGTCGCGCCGCCGTGTGTCTGCAAGGTGTGAATTTGATTAGCTGATCGGCATGTCTGCTTGCACCGATCTCCTACCATTGGTTAGCTGGGAATGAAGGAATGGATCCTTATAGTAGTCCCTATATAACCCATTATGGTAGTATCCATTTTCTGTTCCATCCCTTTTTTCCCAGCTAACCAAGGGTAAGCTGGGTCATGTTTTGAGCAGACCTAAACCTTCATAAATTGCCATGATTCTGCGGTTTGGGGTGCAGATGTTATAGTTCTATGAGAGGATTATAGAGGAAACACTTTACCGAGTACTCCGGCTTCCGTAGGCAGTATCTGAGCTGACGCATTCCACAGGATAAGGGTTCCAATAGTACATGGCATACCGCAAGTCCTAAACCCCCAGCCCTAATGCGCGACGCAGGCGCTGATAAGTTAGCATGCTACACATCGGCACGTAACACTAAGCCCTAAATCCCCTAAACCCTAAACCCCCCAAACCCTAAACCCCCCAAACCCTAAGCCCCCTAAAACCCTAAACCCCCCCAAAACCCCAAAAGCCTAAAAGACGGGACCAGCCATGAGCCATACATACACGAGAGCCCAATACCGCAGTACCTCTTAATTAAAGACTATGTCTTAAATCACAATAGGGATCCTAGTATCATGTGGTAGATTCCCAAACATACCCCGTGATAAGTAAGGAATTTGCATGGGATCACATCAAGGATCCTAGGATCATAAAGGACACAATCCTGATTTGAGGGCCTTCTGGGCAGCTGCTACAGAACTTAAACTAAGTTTCTGTAACAAGGGGAACCCTATTATTTACCATATACCCATATTATGGTAAGTTGAACCCCAAACCCTAACAGCCCATATTATGGTAACTTAGTTTTTAATGTCCTTAGTAGTAGCAACCCAGTTTTGGGCAGCGCCAGCTCCGTCTCGGCGCGAGTCTAGCTTTGCCTCGTGCTATAACGAGCTTCCAATAGACATCACCCAAAAATGACAAAAGGATTTTGGTAACCCTAACCTTAAGACCCCATAGCCATCACATGATAGTCATAGGGCCCTAGTTTTAGGGGTTGGGGTTACCACAATCCATGTATTAGCAGGCGCTAAGCCGTAAACCTTAAACTTGACAAGAGATCCTATCTTCCTCGCCATGGCCCATTGTCCACGAAAGAAAGATCACCAATATATAGGTGGTTGTCAAAATTATGATCCCTTTTTGGGTACCCTGAATAGTAGGTGCCGTATTTTACTAGGGATCCAAAAAGCGACCATAATTTTGACAACCACCCATTTAGGTTCATCTGAAAACTACGGGCCCCTTCTGGTTATGGATTGTAATACGGCACCGAGTATTTAGAATGTAGAGGTACCAAAATTGGAACCTCATTTTGGGAACTACCCATATTGCAACCTAGAACCCGAAGAAAACTTAAGCCCTTAACTGCCAAAGTCCTCCCCAGGTGCTAAACTCCAGCCAGCCTCTTGCCATCTATCCAGCGATTGTCTGACCTCGGATCAGATTTGGGGTTTAAACCTTAAACACCTAAACCCGAAACCCCTAAACCCTAAGTTTAGGGTTTAGGGAACCATGATCTTCCTCTGTACCGACCCACGGATCTAAGTGCCTCCTACGTAAGGGTTATGACTTAAGTTAGATCGTAGTATCATCTACTGAGGGTACATTACAATACATATATATATATACATACCTACACATATTTGTATATAGATACACATGTATTGCTAAACTTAGGGATATGGGGCAAATTGGGTATATGGAAACTGCTACGCGTACTAGGAGTAGCATATCTTCCGGTTGCTTTTCAATTCTTCGAGCTTTGGAACGGTAAGGCAAATGCTAGCAGGAACGCGGCGTGGCTTTTCTCGTGAACCGCAAGTATCCCAGTCACAACTCGGACGTTTGTCATCCGTTTTGCTTCCAGGCCTCTCAATTTCAGCAGCCTTCCCCACCTGCAGTGCAAGGTCGGCTCTTTACAGGAGACCCCTTCGAGAGACTCCACCGACCCTCCCCCCCACCAAAGCGGCGACCCTTGGGCAAGAACTGTACAGCCAAGCCGAAGACTTAGCATCGCCTGAGGCGGGGCCTAAAAGTCCATTCTTGAGAAGGACCCAGGCATTCGGAAAGCTATGTCTTAGGAGGACCCCCCCCACCCTGTAATAGTGGTATAATATAAGAGGACCCTAATATGATCCTTATTATCCCTTATACTCACTATTCCTGGGGGTCCACCTAAGCTATGTCAAAAGTAGACCAAGCCATTCCGGAGCCTAAGGAGATCTGTAGTCCTAGGCTGAGGATTGGACTGGTAAGTCGACTCCAATGAGTATTCGAGCCAGCCACTGTCATGGGCGAATTCGCATATAGCAGTACCCACTACAAACCCCTACATAGCTCATTTTTTTTGCATTTTTGCGTTTAATTCCCAACTACTGGGGGGCAGTACAGCCTATAGAACCCTGCTGTAATCTAGGCCTTGTGCCCAGGGCAGATTCTCCATCCTGCACCTATGCTCGCGGGCTTCCAGTGGATCGTGCTTCGTGGGATGATGCCCTCCGGTCCCATGCCCCCTGTGAAGTATTTGCAATCGAAGGACAAGTAGTCGCCGAATGTGGTGGAGAAATTCGTGACATGGATGGGCGCTGAGTTTTGAGGACTCACTGCAATCTGGCAGCTCTCCCCAGAAGGGTACGGATTCGGATACCCAGGACTCATGACGCACGAGAACTCATCCATGATGCACGGGCCTCTGACCCCTGTGAACATCATGTCGTTTTTGTCAGTGTTGCCAAAGTAAACATCCTCAGGCACATGAGAGTTTCTCGAACTATCCCTATACAACCTCCAATTCGGACCCCTACTATCCCTTAATTGGTAATCCCATATAACTAGGGCCCTCAGGCCCCCTATGTTGAGAAACCGCCACATGATGGTACATAGCAAGAACTTACGACGGGACCATTCTAGAAAGCTTGCTGAGCGAGTGTGCAGCCCTCTCCTGTTCGTCTGCCAATTTCACATCCGCCTCCATCCTGCCAAAGGGCCCGCACGCACGGCTAAAGACACATATTTGGCGCTAGAGTAGTCATACGGGAACCCCTTTGGGCGACAAACTAGTTTTAGGGGAGCACTTTGGGTCCTAAGTATCTACTGTATAATAAATGCCTAGGCATGGACCCACTGAGCCTGCCATCAAGGACATCATGGATCCACGACCTGAGTTGAGACGTTTAATTAGAAGAGCACAAGGGGTTTCCCCAACTTAGGGAACCCTCTTGCAAGGAGCTACAGTAAGGGCCAGAAAAGTCGGACATAGGCCCACCAACGATTATTGTGAATTGTGAACTCGTGTGACTGCTACCTACGCTGCAGAATTCCTTCAACTGCGACATGCCCTTCATCCCGTATACAGTCCCAACTTCCATCTCGTTTTCCATTTATTCCATTTGATTCGCACCTGCTCGGATAATACCCCAGTTCCTATATACCTCCTTTAAAGCGACCTATAGGATTTCCATGTCAAGAAACAGATTAGGGGTTTATGGTTTAGGATGGTTTAGGGTTTGGGGATTAGGGTTTAAGGGTTTAGGGTTTAGGATTAGGAGGCTCATCTTTGCGATTTTTGCTGAGGAGCAGGGCAGTGCTGACGCGGCCGTAGAAGCCGGGTTTCGCGCCACACCCGTACCTTAGGGTTTACAAGGTTTAGGATTTAGGGTTTAGGATGTAGGGCTTAGGGGCAAAACAGCAAACTCCAAACAGGGCGGCGCCTGATTGCAAAGACGAGTTTCCCTGAGGGTCTAAGGGTCCAAAAAACTCAATACCCAAAACCTGTACTACAGTTAGTTACTAGTACCCAAATCCCAAGCAAATATTGAATACGTGGACCCGTGGGGTTAAGAGCCTGGGAACCAGTACTTCAAGAACGTGTGCGGGGTATAGCTAATCTTTGTTCGGGCCTCACGTGCAAAACTCGCCCTCCATCTTCTTGACCCGCTTGCAAGGACAATAAGCTACAAGTCTAAAACGTTGTCTTAAAGCATAAGGGTGCATAAGGTAAGACTCCTGGGTGGCATCTTACATGAGAGAAGGGAGGGGGAAACTCGATTTTTCTGAACTCCCATGTTCGTTTGAGTGTAGCCCTGAACCCTAAACCCTAAACCGAAACAGACATGCAGCTGGAACACCCCCACGAAGTGACACCGTGGACCACGAAGGCACCAGCCTCCTCGCAGGGCTGGGGTTTAGGGGTTTAGGGGCTTAGGGTTTAGGGGTTTAGGGTTTAGGGGTTTAGGGGTTTGGTGTTTAGGGCTTAGAGTCCTAGGCCATTAGCTGGGACTTTCTCGCACCTCAACAAATTGGTAGTGTCCACCACAAAGTGCGCGGATCCTCTTCCTTCCTAGAACTGCAACCCTAAACCCCCAAGATTGAAATCCTAAATGCTGAGCCCTAAACCCCCAAAATCCTCAACCCTAAACCTCCAAATCCCTCAACTGTAAATCCTAAAGCCCAAAACACTTCCCTGCCTCACAAACCAGGGGGCCGCCACTGTCACCCTGGCCTTACTTCCCATGAAATGGGCTTGGTTCTTCAGTTTAGGGCTTATAGGGTTTATTACCATTACCTAGAGTTCGGGGGATCATGTTGAATTTGATCCTCTCAAATTTCAAAAAGATAACCCTAAAAACAGAGTAGGTTACAACTGCCTAGGATTTTGGGGGATCATGTTGAGTCTGAGCCTTGCCATTTTTTAAAAACCCTTAAGCAGAGTAGGGAGCGGACGTGAATGTACTGTTTATCTCATCCCCTGGGTTCAGGGCGCAAGGGTTGGGGTTTTGAGTCGAGGTTTAGGGAAGCTTGTGGACAGTCCCCATGAAGAGCAGCAAGAATGGGCTTAGTGTTCAGGGCCGTCTACTATCTAAATTTCCGCCCTACCCAGGCCAGGATGATAAATCCAGACTGTTCTTTCCAACGCTCCTTTTGAAAAGAAAACCGTAACTGGCAAACCCTAAACCCGGAAGCCTGCATACCACCATAGCTTCCGTGTCCTTCTTCATGGTCTCCGTTCCCTACAAGGCACAAGCATCCTAAATCCTATTCCTTAAGCCTCAATCCCTAAACCCCTAACCCCTAAACCCTTCATCCCTAAACCCTTAATCCCTAAAACCTTAATGCCTAAACCCTTAACCCCTAATTAAACTCTTAATCCCTGATCCCTAAACCATTAATCCCCAAACCTTCATCAGCCCGGTGGCAGGTATCGGTGATCCCAAGGCTGGAGTTGCCAGAGGCGCAGAGGGAGGAGCTGGGCAAAGATAGGCCAGACCTATCAGGGCCTTACGGCTTTTAGGGTCAAGGGGACTTAGTCAGAATACTTCAATAATTACTACAAGCCATGTAATAACCCCAAGTCCCCCCGAATATTAACAGAGTCAGTAAGCCCCCCTGATCCCCTAAAGCAAAGTTTACGGGAATGGACAATCAAATGGAAAAGAAGATGTAAAGGGAAATGCGTTCTAGTATAAATATGGGGGGATATATGTCAGGAACTATATTGCGCAGTGAGAGGGTTTGCGGTGGATGTTCTAGAGGTTATATGGGATAGTGGATACGAAGAGAAATTTGGCAACCCCAACCCTCAATACGAGGACCCTTCAGAACTATCATTTGAGTGGAAAGGCAACTACCAAGATTGGGTTTAGGGTAGGGTTTAGGGCTTCTAGGGTTTAGGGTCCTGCTGCCTACTAGGAACCGGGGAAAATGGACACGTTATTGGACACTGCTTTAGCATTGTGCTACTGCTCAGTAGGGAAAGAGGGAATGGAAAAGAACAGATCCTCAGTGAGCCCTTCCTCGCACCTCTGCCTGCCCTTGTCAAGTTGTCAAGTGCAAACACAGGGGGAAAACCAGCTGCGAATACCCATCCCTAAACCCTAAACCCGAAACCTAAACCTTAAACCAAAAAACAACAGCAAACACACATAAACTCACCCAGGCCATGGGCCAGAACGGGGACGTAGGTTGTGAGGACTATTCTAGGAAGGGTCTAGGGCTAAGGAAAGTCTAGGGGAGTACTTAATTACTACTGTAGGCATCGGATTTCCTCCTTCAAAACTTAATACGAGGTAGTAGGTAGGCAAGGGCTTGAGGGTGTAATGGTGCATTCAGTCCTGTATTTGGTCCCCCCCGAACATTACGGCCCCCGGAGCCCCGGAACCCAAACCCATCCAAGGGAGTCGTCAAACAATAGGCCGAAACTCTTTAAGCGGCGGCCGAAATTGAAGAGAGCCTCTTGTATAAAATGAGTGCAACATTAGCATCCCTGCTACTGTCAATATCCTGGTATCTTGTAATTGTCGCCGCCACTGGTAGTAGAGAATCAACTAGTGATGGTTGTTGTCATTGCTCTTGCATTTGATGAATGCTCTCACCGAGAGCCTTATTGATTGCAAAGCTATCCTACTGCTGATAAAGGACTGAGCTGTTTGGTAAAAACACTTTGTTGTCACTGGCGCTATCTGGGTTACTGTTAAGGAACTCAAATCAAGTTTCCATATTATAAATGGAACCCTATGGCCGACTATATACCCTGATCTTATGGTAACTTAGACTAAGTCCCTTGACAGCAACCCAATTGTTGCTGAGACTTTGTTCTTATTGGACAGGGCCAGACTCTCGATTTGGCTAATTATGCGAAGTCATGCGTGCTGTTCTGCCAGCTGCGACTACCAATGAGCCTCTCGGGGACATGGAGATATGTCAAGAAACTAGAGGCCAACTGACAGATTTGGCAATTTCCATAGATTTGGGGGCCGCGACATAAAGTAACAAATGCAATGATCCTAAACCCTAGATCCTTGTTTTTGGGGCCCTCCCAATATGAAACTGGACCCCTCATTTTCAGAGCCCCTCATTCACCCAAGGGCCTAGGCTCCAGCCTTTGAAATCCTCTCCCCACAATATTTACACCCCCTCCCACCCCTAAGGTTTAGGGTTTTTAGTTGAGGGTGTAGGGTTCAGGGTTTAGGCCCCCCGACCCCCCTGACATTGAATACTCACCATTGTGGGAGATCTTTTGGAATATTTAATCTTAGGGGGACTGGGGGGGGTTTAACATTAGGGGAAGGGGAGTACCCGCGCCACCTGAGGGTGTGTTGGCAGGTGTGGACATCCAGGAGTGTCACAGGAGCCTGCTGCAAGACTTCGGATCCTGGTCCCATGAAGAACTGCGTGCCCCAGCCCGTGATTTGGCACGCAGCGCCCACCTTAATTCAGCAGCTTCATTGCAGCTACCAAAGCCTAAGTTATTAAGTTCCCCAGGAGACAGTCTGAGTTTCGCAAACAGCGGCCTTTCCCTCGTTCTCAGGCAGGCATGCCACACCGATGCACTCATTCATAGGCATAGGCTTCTCCAGCTCCAGGAGTGCGAAGTCATGGCCGTTCTTGGAGTCACCGTCGAACTCTGGGTGCACATACAAGTTCTTCGCCCGCCTCTCCTCAAAGTGCCCTGTCGACCTGGACACGTCCAAATGAGACGTACCTGCATGAGCCTGGAGGCAGCTCAAGCCCTGGGTCCTCAACACAGCGGCGCAGTGTGCCGCTGTCAAGACCCATCCAGGAGCGATCAGCGTCCCTCCGCACAACTCATACCCTGGCAGCCTCAGGGCAACCTGCCATCTCCAGACCTGGATTGCTGTTGACGACTTTAAATTGACTGGGTTGTCCTTTGAGCCCTTTGAAAAGTAGTTACTATTCTGGTTCTCTACAAAATAATGGAAAATAAGACAGATCCCAAAGGACAACCCAGATCAATAATGGACTTTCCTGTTAATGGCAGCTGACTTACTAGTATATAGTGCATGACGGACAAACCGTTTTAATGCTAACTTATTTACTTGTATATACTGAATTATGGACTTTGCTTTATTTACTAGTATCAATTGAATCCTGGACTTTCCTTTTCATGCTAACCTACTTCAAGTTCCCCTAAACCCTAAACCCTAAACCCTAAATCGCTAACTTACTTCAAGTTCCTTAGCATCAGCCCAGAGGCGCAAGGCTCCGAGTCGAATCCATGGACGATGCGCAGAGCTCTGCCTGGCCGACCGCGCAGGCCACACTGCTGCCAGTTCCTGAGTTGTTGTTAAGGAGTTTAGGAATTTAATGTTTTGGCTTAGGGTTTAGGGTTTGGAATTTAATATTAGGGTCAGGGTTTAGGGTTTAGGGAATTGAAATCAGATTACCAGAATATGGTTAGATAGCTCATGATAGTATCTCCTTCTTACTGTAACTCAAGCTAAGTTCCTTAACAGCAAACGAGATTCTCAGCACCCCTCAGACTGGGCGCAGCAGATGCCAACAGGGGGAGCAGCAAGGAAAGCGCCACGAAAAACATGCTGGCAAGCACACAGGAGGATGCCGAGTGCGGTGGCTCACGTCGCTGACGAGCATATATGTAAATTTTATTTGGGTTGTAGTCTGAATGACAGCAACAAACACCGCAAGTGCGGGCTCATCATGCCTGCAATGAGGTTCAGTGTAAGTACCGTATAACCTACTTGTACAGACGTTTAACCCAATTATAAAGCTTTGGGGACTCAGTAGGGTTATCATTGGGTTATGACGACAGTTATACTCCAAAGTAGACAGCAATTTAGATTTCGTACAGTAAGTTCCCTGCATCAGGGCTGTGAATCGACGTCTGCACTCTGTAGGGCTACTTGGAGGGTCAGGTGGGCTTACTAACTAGGTTAATATGGGAGGGTTGGCTGCGGTTATTACATGGCTGAGAATGGTCATAAGAAAACTACCTGCCCTGACCCTAAACCCTAAGCTCCTAAACCCTAAATCCTATACCGAAACGCTAAACCCTACGTGCAAGCCTAAACCCTAGACCAGACAGCTCAAACTTGAAAATCCACAAGTTGATTCTCTTGCTCAGAGGCCAAGCAAGATGCCTTGCAGGCCTTTGACTGGGTTTCTGTGCAGGAACTGAATCTAGCTATAGGGATTATAAAGGGATAACATAGGGATAATGGAAAAGAACATGGAAACTACTATTCAGGGTTTAGGGATCTGGGCTTCTGTTAAGGAACTTAAGCTGAGCTATCAAATGGGTATTCAATTCCTTAACAGCCACTAGCAACGCGAAGCAAAGGTTCTTGTGGAGAAAGGCACTTGCGAAGCTTAACCACTACAGCCTAACGTAGTAGTAGCGTAAGCAGCTAGTTGCAGCTAGTCAGTGCAGAGAGGTGTTTGCCCATACCTCGTACATACTCCCACGCTGCACAGCGATGCAACGAGAGGCAATGGTTCTGCAACAGACCCCCCAGGCATTCTGCTTGATCACCAGACCTGCTCCAAGCACATCTGTCGACATTTGCCCAAGATCGTCAACAGACGTTCTTCAGCGAAAAATCTCAAACCCTAAGAGCTTCCATATCCCTATAAAACTCGTATATAATGACCCTTGTTTTAAAGAACTGCCTGTCATAGCTCTTTCTCAACGGCTCTGGAAGCAAGACATTGAAGGACTATTCAAGGCCCTGGGGTTTATCCCACATGCTCAGCCCATGCACCTGAACTCCTGAGCCCTGAGCCCTACCCTCGACTCTGTTCTAGGCTCTAATTACTTAGACTTAGACTTAGAGTAACATTCTTCATGACTGTGTTCACTGCCTAAGTCTTAGACAACCCTACCCCAAACCCTGAAGCCCAGGGCCCCAACTGGCTGGATCTGATCTGGACGGGCTTGCCGGAGACCCCAGAACCTGAACTTTGCAGCCAGATTTTATGGATTCCGTCGATAGACTGGGAACTCATGGGATGTGGACAGATGTTTGCAGCATTGCAATGTGCATCTCATCAGGACCGCGCGTCATACTTGAGCTGCACCAGAGCACCCCCATGTTCAGATGTCGTGATATGGGATGTCTGTGTGGTTTCACTCATGCACGAAGATGCCACCTAAACACAAATGTTGTTTGCAGAATCAGTTGGAGTTATGAACCCCGCATGCGAACCATGATGACTTCGGCGGAGATTCTGCAAACCCACTTACCAGAACAGCGTTACGCGTCAGTCGTCGGTTGTGAGCATGGGCTGCGCGAGAAGATCCCTACTTGCTAGGAGGTGGAGGGGGAAGTGTAATGTTGGACCCTCTTTAATAAGGGGGGCCCCCCTTCCCCAACATTAGGGCCAAACCCGAAAAACAGAAATTAGGTATCCTCAATGCGGCCCCCTGAGCTCCCACGGTTCTGAGGTCCCTGTGGATTGATTTGAAAGGGATTGTGGAGAATCTTTCCTCCATTTTTAGGGCACCAAAATCAAAACACATTACAGGGGGCCTTGCAATCATTGCCTTGATCCTGAATAAGCAGCCCCCAAAACACGTTCTAGAAAACCCTTTGAATAAAGGAGGTCCAACATTAATTTGAGGTGAGACGTGTCAACTAGGAATGCTGGGCTATGCCGTACAGTACTTCCAGAGCGCTACAGCCAGCAGTATGCAATCGAAGCTTGACCCCCCGGCTTTTCGGCTGCTCTAAACTTTTCAACAGGAAAAACGACCGAGGTCATAGTGAAAGCGTAATAATGTCATAAGGGTTCAGGGCTTTTACAAAAAACAAGGACGTCAATCGCAACGATGACGGCCTGAGCTGCCCTCGCTCGATTCTTCCATGGTATCGCTCCAGCATCGGGTCCTATCCATAGCTTCAGTCAGAGGTAGATTCAAAATGGAAGCGGCGGATTACCAGACATGTGTTAACCGAAGCCTACGTGCTGGTCTTGTGCGTGAATCCAGGCTCTCATCTCCAGCAAGGTTCAAAAACATGTTCTGGCAGCTCAGAAAACTTGGTTGCCGTAAAGGAACTTAATTTAAGTTACTACGTATCAATTAAGGTATATACCCATCATGGTAACTTAAATTAAGTTCCCTAACAGCAACCCACAAAACTACTGGAGTACGGAGGTTAGTATCTGAATAGCTTGTATAGGAGTGTGACGTGTCGATCCCTCACAGCCACATATGAGCCATAGTCTAAACTCCTTCAAGGGGGTTATGCAGGGCTGAATATAGGGAATTACTTTAGGCGTTATTAATGGGGATATTAGGACTTCAGACTATAGCTCATATAAGCAGAGATCATTCCTCATGCGACCTTTTCACCCAAAGCCCTGCCTCTTGTGCCCCCAACCCTGGTTGAACCAGTGAAAGGACGGCCTGTAATGGGGACCTCAAAGAGGGAACCCGCAGAATATAATAGGAACATTCTAGGAAGATAAGAAGCCTCGCAGGCATATTCCTATGATGCTCTTGTGGTTCCCTGCTTCGGTGTCCCCACGAGAGTCCTCCTACAGAAAGCGCGCACGCGCGGTATGCAGCCCTCTCGGGCCCTCTCCACCCAATCTCCTAACACTTTTGAAAGGCTCCAACCACCCTAAACTCTAAACCCTAAATCCTAAGCCCTCAGCCCTAAGCCCCCTAAACCTAAAAAACGTAACAAGCTTCAACCATGTTTCATCCCAGTGCCAGTCGCACCTTTCAGGGCCTGCGAAGAACTTGTCGCTAGATAGATAGGGAGCTGCAAGTTGGCAGAGCTGTATGGCCCTCAAAAATGTTTTGGGTTAGGGTTTAGGGTTCACTGTATACAAGAGTACGAGCACACAGTACGGGTGAACATTATTCGAGCTTCTACATGATGATCTTAAAGTCGGAAGCACCAGAAGCGGCATGAGGAATCTTCATAATAACTTCCCAACACTAATGAACCCTTACCCACCTGGCCTAACAGTAAGATTCCGAAAATCGTAATACTATATTATGAGGTGAAATTTATCTTTGGGCGAAAAGGGTTCCACTACAATAGGGAGGTGTTACAAAGCCTGCTTGAAATTCAATGTCATGATGCTGCACCGGCCACTGAAGCGGAAAAAAAAATGCACAGTCCGAGAATTTCTCAACCTCACGCTGTACCTCACAGTAGGTATGACTTGAAACTAAGGTGTTTGTATGAGCTAGGGATGTTGGGACCCTTGTAATGATGGCAAAGAAGAGACCGCCGACCATGAGAACATACCCTGAAGCATATACCCCTCAGTGTATCTGAGTTCCTGCCTTTCCCTTAGCGCGTCTATTCCTCAAAGCGACGACATATGTATATCGCATATAAGGTTTAACGTGCAGTGCTCCTCATCCCCGTTTTGCCGGCCATACTCATGGAAGCTGAGATTGGGCCTGGGGAAGCTATTGAAAACAACTGCTTGTGGGAAATGAATGAACGACAGGGTTTGTACAAGCAGTCAGCGCCGAAAACCCTTAAACCTAAACCCTTCTGCTTCAGTCCCCCTTAAGTAGATAGAATCTGGCTTTGGGCAAATCATACCAAGATCCCCATATACCCAATTTTCTATCTACTTAAGGGAAACTATAACCAGTGGGCTGATACACAGACACAGGGAACCTACCAAAACAAATGGTGCCACGCCTATTTCCTGCAACTCAACCTAAACCCTAATGTAGATCCATGATTAATAAACCCCCTCCGTTGAAGTGCCTTAATATTAAGATCCCTACTATAACCCCTCTTCAGGGGAGGGGTTTATTAATCAGGGGTCTGGGTTCAACCATAAGCCTACATGATTACTCAACACAAGCATGTCTCTGAAATACGGGGCCAGTAGG